TGACTCACTGCCTTCACAAATACACAAACTAACGAGATCATCTCGCCTCATACACATCCAGAGCAGATGGCAGTTATTCTCAGCATCAAAGAATTGTTCATACATCCGCAAACGACTCACATGTCCATTTATTCCTCCATCTATGCCCACCACTGCATTAAATGCAAGCCTACATGCATCCCTGATACGCTCGAGTGACTTCCATGTACACAAATTTCCCTGTTGGAGAATGTTTTCTATGTCACTGACGTCAATAATTCAGTGTAAAAAAAAAAAGAGGGAAAGCCCTCATATGAGATTCAAAAACATGTTTTACATTCACGGTATCAGTTAGTTTGTAAAGGGGTCTGACAAGGTATGATTTTGTAAACTTAACCATTTTAGGGATGATCCATCTGTAGCCTTGTGATGCCAAATTTCCATGATTAACATCTATTTATCTCTTTTCTTGTGTGTGTTTCCTCTGTCTGGTTGTAGAGCTGCGATGCTGTGATGCACCTTCTCTCTTATGTGCATTGAACATCAGTAACATTTAAATCACAAAAGCTAATGTCAGGTCATAATTCCCACCTGATCCATGAATCCATTGAGGACCGAGAGATGTTTTGCAGGATAAGATGCAAATATGTTGGCTGTGGCATTTGCACCAGTCACTGCAAATTCTCCGTTAGTGTAGTCCATCAGAGCATCTGTTGAAAAGACGATACAACAAAGATAAGTCAATGCAATCACTGCCAACCAGCTCATCTTCTATTTGCATTATTATTTAGTAAGTCAGAAATGAAAACAGCATCCAGAGGCTGTGTCATGCAGCCGGCTCGCTACATCAGCTGCACAACGTTACGCAATTCAGCGTTTCAGCATGAACAGAGATCTGAGTTTCCCCATAAAATCGGACAGTCCTCAGTGACGACATCCACACATTCACACCCACCATAGTACAAGCCATAGACGACGCCGGATCCAACAAAAGCCCCCAGGAACTGCGCTGCCACGTACACGGGGAACTTCTTCAGCGGCAGCTTCCCCAGGATCACCATGGCCAGAGAGACCGCAGGGTTCACGTGGGCTCCTGGAGCGATGCAGCAGAACCACGAGTGAGTCACGTTAACAACACAACAACAGGCAGGGCAGCGTTTCAGAGGAAGAAGAGGGAAACAGCCACAAATGGAAGTAATTAAAGAAATACTCAAAATGAAAAAGAAAATGCTCAAAGCCTCAAAGCATCTAGTTTGTTATAACTCCACACAGAGAAAGACAGTGAGATGTAAGTGTTTTCGCTTGAAAGGTGACTTAAAAGACTTTTCTAATGATTTAGACTCCTCTATTTCTGTCGGACCCACTATAGGAAACTATGAAAATCAGTGCAGCAGAACCAGCCTTCACTTCTCCCTGTAAAACAGACACTTAAATGAGTAATCCCCTGATTCAGCATTGTACTCTCTTGAACTCAAGATGCGAAACAGAGGCCATGCCATCGCTGCTTTTATTCCCCTCACTCCTCTTCCTTTCAAAGTGTCACGTGGCAGTTAATCAAACCAGTTTTTCTTTTACTGTCAACAAGATTTTATGTGTAAAACTGGTGGAGTTCCTCTTTAAATGATCATTTTCTTTTATTTGATTGAATAATTGATTAACGAATCGCTTCAGCCTTAAATCAAGCATCAAACATCTGAGAGCAAGCTGTGACGAATGATTTTAAGAGTCTCTCGCGTCCTCTCTAACGAGATGAGGTAAACTCAGCGGATTGAAACAGCCAGCGACGGGCTCTCTGATCGTTCCTTGTGGTCAAACCCTCTGGTCCTCATTCATTCATTCATCCATTCGTTCACTCATTCAAAACTTTTGAGGATACTCTCCAACAAAGGGCACTGGGTTTGTGTGCCTTCAGAGTCTATGTGTTTTCCTACATTCTGCATTGTCCTAAAGAGGCGTGTTTGAACACATTCCAGCCAATTGTTCCCGGGCTGCGATGGCAGTGTGGGGTCATTTATTTAACACTCTGGGATCTTGGCTTTGACCTCGATGTGGTAACACCACTGGGGGTATCAGCCATGCGCCCATTGTTAATCTCCCCATCCTGTTCACAAACACTGACCACGACAACCAGCCAGACCTGCCTGTCTGAATTGCATCTGACATAATCTGCCTGAATCTGCTTAAGGCACACGTAGACTGCAGGTCATTAGAGTGACCATGATGTGTCACACTTACGGTACACTGTCATCTAAAATCTGAGACTACAAAGTGAAAACAATTGTGTTTTCTTCTCCTATGGGGCCGCCCTGCCAGGGAAGCCTAGAAAGCCAGGCTTGTCACACCTGACCCCCCTCCTCTCCAGAGACCCATGCCCCAGTAAAGCTCATTAGTCCAATACCTATGATCATCTTCAGAGATGTCGTTGGACAGAAGCTTCCCACTGAGCCGTGGACCCCAGGGCTGAATGGCCCAGTCATGCAGCAAAAGCTCTCCATATATTAACCTCCCTGTCCTCGGGCTTTTCTGCTGCTCTTCTGAAGCTTTACAACTCGTCTTATTAAACATGCAGCTCAAGTACAACTGAGCCGTGAGCCTGGATGATCACAACAGCCATCCCTAACAACAAATTCATGTTTTAATTCAGTCTGAACATTTTCACTGAGTGGTGTTAAATAAAACATATTACCACTAACATACCTACATACATGACACAAGAACTGCAGCACGTCTTCATGGAATGGACTTTAAAAGTTTTTATAGAATAATTGTGTGGTAGATGAGAAGACTAACACCACGACTCTGTCTGTTAAATATAAAGCTACAGCTGGTCTTTTAGCTTAGCTTAGCACAAAGATGGAAAACAAGGGGAAACAGTTAGAATGACTGTCTCACCAAATGTTATTCTGAAAATCCATCCACCAGCACCTCCAAAGTTCAAATTCACTCATTAACCTGATTTAATCTGCATAAAAGTTTAAATTATTCATCCAGAATCAGTAACTTCTCTCCCAAGTTGTCAACAAAATCCAGAAACATTCACACATGTACCCTTATAAATCAGAAAACAGTATTTTTTACATGTTAATTAAACAGCTTTAGCCCTGCTGACTGTTTCCTCTGATTTTAAACTCTTCATTTCAGTAGTTATGTTGCCACCAGATGCCACAACATCTATACAGTATCTTGCTTTATTAACACCTCTTTCTCCTCTCAAGAGTAACTGAGTGACTACACCGCAGCTCGCAGAGTCTCCACAATGCGACCCCTTGACATACTTAACGCATTAATTGCTGATTAATGGACACTCACCATTTTGGCTCAGAAAGCCGCAGAGAAGCCCTGTGACATTTAACAACTATCCCCTCCTATCCCTATCATTGCTGGCAGAGCACAGAGGGCTCTTCTTGCTGTAATCCTCCAGGAATGTACCAGATAAAATCCCATTTGGACATCAGGACACAATATTTGCAGCCCCTGAGCACGTCCCGACTGCTATTACACTAAATTTCAGCCCACTGGAGAGGGTAATTAAATAATAACTCTTAGTTTATTCTCCAACAAAATCTACATTGAATAATTCTTGCCCCCTGGATGAGAAAAGGAGGCATGTTTTCTGTTACTGCAAACCCAGACCAGAGTTTTGCATGTGAACATGTTGGAGATGGAGACACCAGTGACACGGAGTAACCTGGAGGAGAGAGACCACATCCACCACCACAGATTGATCTCCACCGCAGACAAACACTGAACCTTTGTCACCAGCTTGTGTTGAAATATTATCTAATAGTTTTTGTTATTTTATCAGAGAAGACACCTGAAGTCATTAGAAAACAATCTGACGACAAACTGGCGTGGACGTGCTTGCAGGCAGGACTGACACACAGCAACAGTTTTATTCATCAATTAGTTGTTTAAGCAGGTTTTCTTTGTAAGAAGCAAGTCAAATATCTATTAGATGTTGTGCCATATGTCCTCTTTATCTTTTATCTCAATATCTTTGGGTTCAAATGAAATGTCACCACTTTCTGGGATGTCTGTAATTTCATTAACTGAAAAAAAAACACGCTCAGAATTCAGTGATGACACAAAAGTGGCTGATTCAGAGCTACAAAGGGTGCGAGCTGCTGCACACGTGGCCAAACTCTTTACCTGACACTCCCCCGGCCATGTAGACGGCCATCATGACTCCCAGAGTGAAGCCGACGTGGATGGTCAGCGGCTCCCCGAGAGCCCCTTTACTCAGCACCGTCTGGGCCACTGAACCACATCCGAAGAGCTGGGACACAGACGGGGACAAAGACACAAAGAGTGGAGGTAGAAAGGCTCATTGTTTTCAATTATTCCAATTATACCCGCCATTAACACTAGCCCACTTGTCCAGCAAACAGACAACTTGTCCCCGAGCTGGGGATTCGAAACAATAACTAACCCACCCCCCCCTCATTCCTACTTCTGAGGTAAAAGGCACAAGTGAATTAGAGGGAGAGGAGTGTTGGGATGAGGGGCAGTCATGCAGGAATAAAAAGGGCTGTTGTGGAGGCTGCGATGTGGCATTAAAGTGCTGTAGGAGAGGTGACAGGTGGAGCTCAGGGTGGAGGCGAGGACACTCCAAACACATGAGCAGGAAACTAACATGTTTTTTGTTTTTCATTAATTCAAAATTGTGATGCAAGTATTTAATTATGATTATAAAAGAAGTGTCCCACCAGGGTTTTAAGAAGCAAATCACTCACATCTTGTTATGGTTCCTACAATAAAGTCTGCCAGCAGCACATTACAGCTGAGCACATGAAAGAGAAAGTGTGTGATTTGCGGAATAATGTGTCTGCTAATAGAGACATATGAGAGACAGCAGCCAGAGTCCCCAGAGACCCGGTTTGACACCTTATTAGCATACTGGTCCGCAGCTTTAAAGCGGCTGTTTAAGCCTGATGACAGGTGCAGAGGGAGGTACTCACTATCAGGACGAATATCCCCAGAAACTCCGCCAGGAACTCCTTTATGATGTCCCGCTCCAGGCCAAATCTCTCCTTCAGCTTCCTCTTGCTCTCATTTTCCATTTTTTTTTCTTCTTTTCTCTTTTCTTGATGTCTTCCTCCGACCACAACAAACAGCTAACAGCGATGAGGGAGGCTGTGTGGAGCTGTCGGCCAGGTTTGTCGCCTCCTACTCGCTGACAGGCGCGTTAAGCTGTGCGCCTGTTCCCCTTTATAACCAGCAGAGGTCCGCTTTATGAGCGTGTGGCTCCGTGGGTTCGTCCAAACAGACCTGCCAGTTAGGACAACATGGCATTCAGAGCATGTTTGCATCCATGTTTTATTTTTTTTTTAAGTTGTTGTTGTTTGAGATGCATCACCAACGTTGGTCTGAGAAGATTCTAAAGTGCCTCTAATACATTCAAATAGAAAAATAACCCTGAAGGTGCAGCACGTTTTGGCAATCAGATAAAATCCCTCCAAAATTATATGATTCTGTCTTAAAGATGACTAAATTTGCAGCCACACAATGAGCAATGTGTGGACTAATGGGAAAAATATTTCAGTTAATTCAATTAAAAATTAAAAATTCCACTAAATAAACGTGTTGATTTTTAATTCCATTAAATTCCTCTGCAAGATCTCAGCAACACTCTTTGCTTTAATGAGCTCTAAAGTCTTTATCAGCCAAACCAGACTAAGGCCTGTAAAGCAGACTTTCTGTTTTTCATGCAGAAGTCAAACACACAATTAAATTAAACTCTTTGCACTGGTCATTCCAAATTAAAATCTAAAATACACGTGTTTATTTTTATTTTTATTTTTTTTAGGGAGTGCATTAGAAGGTTTGATGAGCAGAATATTATTTGGATAATTTTTTCCCCCCATTTTCTTCTTCTTCTTTTTTTTTTTTTAAATCACAGATGTGTGGACTGTGTCTGGGCTACAGTGTTCATATTTTGTAAATATTGAAAAAAATAATTACAAAAAATAATAATCAGAGAATAACTTAAATTGTGGTTTTGAAATCAGCTGCAAATGGTCGATCTGTCTAAATTTAAGTATATGTGTATATATTTTAAATATATTGTTCAAATTATCTGAGCAAACTGAGGAGAAAAAAAATACAGATGTATAAAAATCACCAAATAAATTCTAGTATAAGAATGAGATAAATATGGATCAGCTCCACAGAATACAAGAAGCTAACTTTGCTGCAGTGGTTAATATAGACTAGGTACTTTAATTTATTTATTTTAACATTTTATTTTATTTAAATCAGACTCAATAATTAAACGCTTTGTCTATTATCTGTATTTGCAGCAGCTGCACTTTAATATGCATCAATAATCAGCCCACCACCGCAGACAAACATGAGAGGCCACAGAAAACTTCCTCCATGTGCAGGTTTGGTTCTTTTTTATAAAAGAAAATTTGGATAAAGTAACAACAAAAATGTATTTCACGACTCTAAAATCTCACCAACTCTGCACCAGTTACTCTTTAAATATTTTAAAAGTACAATCGGGGGAAAAAATTATCAGAAACTCTCACGTTTTCTTTCCTTTTTTCTTTTTTATTTGCTGAACGGTTCTCACTCACCTTTCTTCCTGTGAGACCAAAAAAAACCAAACAACAACTTTCCAGTCACTGCATCGGTCATATTCCTTTATTTAATCCCGGTTAAAGACGCTCCTGTTGAACATTGCAGGGCTGCTGGTGGATGTGTGACCCTGCGAGCAGCGTCCGAGGCTCCCTTCATCCAACAGAGGGAGCTCCATGAATACATTTGAAGCCCGGCTCCGGTCACACCGGCTCGTCTTATCTCCTGTTCGCTGCGCGCTGTGAAAAGGTGAGGCGACAGGCCGAGGATGGGATGTTTTCAATCCATTAATCAGTGTCACCGTTTTCTGGCACGTCGTCTTTGATGTGAAACAGACACTTGGAGAGTGTCGCCCATGCTGTGAAAAAAGGCTGATGTGCTGATGGAGAAAAAGCATCCTCCGGGGGGGGGATTTGCAAATTATGGAACCGACATCTGTCTCCAAACTCCTTTGTCCTGCCAAAAGGCTCAGATTATGAAATCCAGAATTTAAAGGCAGTTTAAAGAGGATGGAAAGGCGTTAAAAGTAGACCAACATGTGTTCCCTCTGGATTCATGTCCTGGGTTGTTTCTTTACCTTTCTGGTAATGTTTAATCCCCTTAATAACCTCCTCATTTGCCCCTTTAACTTCTCACTGCCTCCACATGGAAGTGTGAGGACATGCATTTGCTGTGGATGTGTTAATACATGCGTGGATTTGCTTTAATTCCTTCAGTTTTCTTGAGACAGGCTCGCTCTCGGTTAATTAACGGATGTTTATTGGGGGGTTTAAAGGAGGCGCTGGAGGGAATTATCACCTGCAGGACAAATCTGCGCCAACAACACCCCGCAGCAAGCAGCAGCAATCCCTGCAAGTCCCGCATTTACATAACATCCCAGGCCGTGGGGCGGTTGTGTTAGGCAAATCAGACCTGTGGGCGACAGCGAGCCCTTTATGTCACTGATAGGAAATGGTTAATGATGGTGTGAGATTATATCTTTACGCGTTTGCATGAGAGGTCGTTTTTGTTCCTGTGAAAAGAAAGGACAAAGTTTTTTTTATTTTTTAGTCTGAACTAAACCCAGGTGCTCGATGTGGTGAGAAACACTGAACATTTTGCAGTCGCATGTCAACAGGTCAAGCTCCATCTGCGGAGGAAGATCATGCGTAAAGCTCCAGAAGCTGCTAAATGGACCTTGTGGTGAGACTGTTTTGCCAAGCAAATCTGCAGCCTTCATGGGACTGTTGGGAAACTACAGTCTGTGTCACCATTTATCAACCTTTTATCCCAAATCTACAACTTTCCAAACACGCTGAAATACTTTCTGAGTCCAGATACCACTAACATCATAACTCCAAACTACTCTGACATTTCACAGCAGGAAGTTCCAACATGATATTTGTCCGTAGAACACTATGAGTTGGTGTAGAAAAGCGTCAGCTGTTGGTGAGTGGAAGCGGTGGAGACTGAGTGCACCGGGAGTGTGAGGTGGGTGGGGTGCATGTGTTCCTCCTCCTTAACACGCTCGTTTATGTAAATGCTTGAATTTAATTTTCAAAAGGACAGCCCTTTCCTCTGCCCAATGAAAATGAACCGCGGCTGACACCTGGCTATAAACCCAGGAAGGAGCCCAAAAAATTCCCGATCAGAAATTGTGCTGAAAAAACCCCGGAGAGGCGCAGCAGGCAAGACGAGCCGCGGAGAGAGACGATGACTTCCAGTAAGATCGAGATCCCCGGAGAGGTGAAGAGCGACCCCGCTGCTCTCATGGCATCCCTCCAGCTGATGCCCTCACCGGTGCCCAACCCGGAGATCAAGTACACCAAGGTCTGTTTTACCGTCCGCACTCCGCCGAATCCGACGGCTCCACTTTTCTCCGACGCGGCGCCTTTTACGCGCAGAAAGTCTGACCTCGGAGCGAAAAAACTTAGAAATGGGAGTTTGTGAGTCAGTGTCAGACCGTGTCGCTCAGCTCGGGACCGGAGCAGATAAAAACTTCTCCCGACACAACTTTAGAAGTTTAAAGTAGGCCGAGCTGCAGAGCTGCTGCGCTGACGGCTGCACGTTTCTCAGTCCCGGTGCCAGATGAGTCGTTTTTCTTTACTTTTTTCTTCTTCTTTTTTTTTCTTTTGCGTCCGCACGTGTTCACTGTAGATTATCATTAAATCACCAATAACTCTCTTGTTAACCAATAAATCAGATGTGAGATGTAACTGATAAAACCTATTTTATAGTTTATCTGTGTTTTTGTTGATTAATTAAAAAAAAGCCAAATTAACGGTTTAGTTGATATTTGTTCCCATTTTTTAATGCGTAATTGCGTCACTGCATCGACCTGGCACTGGGATAAAGTCTCATAATAGATTTTGGCCATGTTCTAAATGCGCATGGACCAAAATAACTGTTCTTTATTAGACGCAGTAACTTATTAATAAAGGGCGTGTCACAGTTTGACGGAACAAAGTGAGTAAATTACTAAACCTACTAAAATTTTACAACAATATGTCACGTGGTCAGAGTTTTTTTCTCTCTCTCTCCTCACTTTTATTATATAATTTTATATTTATTCCACATGGAGTGCAGCTTCATTGAACACTCAGGCCAACATGATTTCAGGTTGCTGTGCTGAAGCCAAACATGAAGCTTTAAAGGGATGTTAGGAAAAGTAAATACTGAAATACTGCAAGATTAGATCCAAATCTTTCATTTTTTCCTTCCCCGATTAGGAGCATTTCTGTGATATCCCATGAGTTATAAAGTTCTTGATTTGCCATAATTACAACAGCTCACAGTCACATTATTCATCAGCGGGATGAAAAAAAAAAAGTGGAACAAATACGACCCCAAATCCTCTCTGCCTGGTCTTTAAAGTGTGTTCTTGTCATGACATCAGTGATGACAACACACTCAGGTTAGCCCAGTCCAAATAATAGTCAAATAATTTGAATCAGGCATTGTCTCACTATTATATAACACAAAGTGAATAAATTGTTTAGAATTGAAATGTGTGTGTTTCTGCTGCACAGTCAGGAGTGTGTGTGTGTGTGTGTGTGTGTGTGTGGGTGGGAGAGAGAGAGAGAGGGGACGCAGAAACAGCTGGAGAAAGAAGCAATGAGTCAAACAAAGAACTTTATTTGATTCGTGCAACAAATCCGGTGGTGAGCACAACAGAAATATCAGAATGTGTGGCGAGGCGCTTCGACCACTTTGCTGCCACGCACGACACGTAAGCAGCACTTCATACAGTGTTACAGCCATGAATCACTAATAATCAGTTGATCTCATTTTGAAGCTTTGAATACTGAGCCACAGGAAAAATAGCCCTCATTTGAATGGCTCTGTTTCCGTTTGATAACTTGTCTGGGTTCTTTTTTTTTTTTTTTCACGGTTGGTACATTTTAAAACTTCATTAATTTAAGATCCTTCCTTCTGAGGGATTTTTAAGCTCCCATCATCGCCTGCTGCAGTTTGTCGCTACTGAAAACGGCCTCTTTAGCTG